ATAATAATAATAATAATAATAATAATAATAATAATAATAATAATAATAATAGCATAGAGAAATAATTTACGTTTTTATACAATATAATTTTCATGGAAAATAACAATAAATATTTAATAAGTACCTTATTTACATCAATATTGGTAACTTTCAAACCTTTGATCAGACCAGTAATATCTACAACCCACATCTGTTCACAAATTGTAGCAACCCATAAGTTGGATGTCAATTGACCTATTATGTGTTCATTTTCAAAATCTGATCTGTAAATTAATCAATAAAGTATATTAATACATCAAATAAACAATCTTACATTATATCATTTATCCCTTAATAAGCTCAACCTTGTGATTATTTTAGCTCTGTCGATGATCCAAGGTACTATTGTCCTCATATTTAAGTTTTCTCTTCTCTCATTTTTTGCGTTTTTCATTTTCTCAAACAATTGTAAAAGTCTGTTCTTATTTTTTCCTGAGACTACTTTATTTGCATTGATTTTTCCCTCAGGCTTTTCGTGTGTTTTATGTTCCTTTTCTTCTTCTTGTGCAAGATCGCGATAATAACCACGCTCTTCGGATGACAATTGCTTCCAAAAGTCGGTAATTTTTCTTGCAGTTTGGGCTGCAGTTAATGTAGGATTTTCTTTTGCAACTAAATATAAAATAGTTATTATTATAACTTTAAGTTTATATACCTATTTTATTTACTATGCATTTTTATTGCAATATAATTATTATATTTATATAAGCAATATATAAACAATTTAGATGACACAATTATATATACCTTGTAATCTAACATGTTTTAAGAAATTAAGATCTTTGTGGTCAACATGTGCTCTATTTGATTCCAATGTTTCATCAAGTTTATTATTTAAGTTGTCATTTAATTTTTCAGTAGCAATATCCGATTTTATATCTGTACCACCCTGTGCATTTGATAATAGTATTAATTGTACTATAATTCTATGATAAAATTAATTAAATAAACATTCTACAATTATTAAAATTTCACCTTAAGTCCAATGACTTGTCCTTTACTCCACATTTCCATTGTAATTTTCTCTTTTTCTTGGATATTTTCTTTAGTTTTTGCATCATTTTTGTTCATGGAAATATTAGAGTTTTCAATTTCTTCTATAAAGTCAAAATCTTCACCAAGATCTACTGTAGGCAGTTGACTTAAAGTTAATCTTTCATCTGCTCTGTAATTTACATTAATATTTATGTAGTATTATTATATATTTATTTATTATTATTATAAATTTATTCATAATTTCTAAACATTATAACATTGATATGAAATAACATTAATATGAAAAATCAAGAACATTAAAAAATTCACATATTAATTAACAATATTCTATATACTAACACCTTATCCTTAATCATTGTTGTGGTAGAAAAGGAATCATTTGAATCAGAATCGCTCAAATTCGGTGATTGTATAAGAGTTGTTAAAGCCAATGCATCTTCATGATGTTTCTGATTATGAGTTTGATTATCATTCTGTTGGTCATTTTGAGAAGATTTTTTACATTCGTTACTGTTATTAAGTATTGATTTTTCTTTGACAATATTTTCTTGAATAATACTTTCTTGTATTTTTCGTTTTTTGCACGCAGGCCATTCAGCAATATTTTCATTCGGATTAGATGCATAATCCTCATAACAGACAGATGTGTCTAACGACACGTTTTGTTCAACAATCTCTGTAGCTTTAAGTCCATAGAATTTTCTTATACATTTATCTACAGCATTAAGGACTTTATTCTACAATGTCAATTATATAATTTGTAACATTTATATGTGTATTTTGTTTTACATTTTTTAAAGCTTTGAATTGAAGATTTTTATCTAACCATCACTTTATGTATTTTATATAAATAATTTACATGATTATTATAATTGCTTTATGAAAAAAATTAATATATCTTCATTTAATATTAAATATAATTCATTTAATATCATTCATTTAATATTAAGTATGATCTAAATTTTTAATCTTACCTGATCTTTGAAAAGAATTGCATCTTTATTTGGTTCTAGATTGATGTCAATATCCATTGGGCTCAAAGTAATATACATAAGAAATATTATTTTTTTTCTATATGACTCTTGTTTAAAATGTTCCAATATCAGATCATTTGCTAGCTATGTGTATAAAAATTTACTTTTTTACTATTTTATAATAAATAAAAAGATTACATTATATTTACATGCAACGAGATTTGTAAAAAATTTCTTTTTACTTGAGTTTAAACATAATGTTTACATAGAACATACCTTTTCAAGAGCCTTATGCTTAATAGGTCTATTATTTACAAGAATATAATGTAAATCAGGATAAGAAATTTCTGATAAATCTTGTACTTTTTTTGAAGGCAACATTAATTGCAGAGTGAACTGAAAAATAATGTGAAGATGTAAATCATAAAAGAATTGTTAATTGTAATTAGACATATTTTCCTTAATTGGATACTACTAATTTTTCAACAATTTCAAGAATGTATTTACCTCTGCATCCTTAGACTCAATCCATTCCATGTTAGACATAATTTTTCTGCCAAGTATATGATTTACAGCTTCTCTGATATTATTTAGACTTGGTTTTGTAAACATAATATTATTATTCACTCTAAACTGAATTCGTACATTTGGTTTACATATCCCAAAACATTGCATTAGAATCTCCAATAATTTAATAGTCTGATTAGCTTTCTTCGTATTCATAATTATTTGTCTCCTCACAGGCACTTGTTTAAATAAATTTCTTACTTGTACTGTAGTGCCTAATATACAATAAATCAGTACATTTTTTAAGAATATCAGTATATCTTTTAAGAATACATGTGTTAAAGTATTATTATAATCATGTATATTATGACATATCTTACAGAAATTTAAAAACTGATAAATTATTTTTTTACTTACCTTTACTTTTATGACAAGATTCACAGTTTACAATTTGTCCATCATTATTCATTACATATGAAGTTCCAACGTTATCCTCTTCTGTTTTTGTTATAATAGTAACTTCTGCTACTGCACATACTGCGCTAAGCGCTTCTCCTCTAAATCCAAATGTTCGTAGTGCATCTAGAAGTAATGAGATTAGAGATATAAGAATTTGCTTCAGTCATTACTATGACTATACTGTACTTAGATTGTAGTCTAAAAACATTTTTCTTGTAAACTAAAATATTAGTCTAGCTTCTATCGAAGTTCTCAATTCAGTTTCATTTTGATGTAATGTTGTTTTTAGAAGTTATTAGAAATAGAGATCTAGGCTGCGTTCTTAATGCTCACACCGCTTGTGGAATCATTTCATCCTTGTCGTTTATCGATTATTAAACAAGGACAACCAATGCTCACGAGCATTGCGAGCGTTAAGTGGAACACAGCTCTTGTAGATCAAAGCAGGAATAAAATAAGTATAATCAATGCATTTCCATCGATTTAAATTTTGATTCTAAAAAAAAACTTTTGTTGATTCTATGTCTCATTAGGTATTAATGCTTCGATGGAAATTAGACTGTTGTAGGTTGGATTTCAAGCGTTACCTAGATCTTCAAAATTTGCTATTTTAGACGTGTAGGAAGGTAATGCCATGTATGGTGCATCCTTCTTAGATATGCCGTACCCATTATCCTTCACCTCTATTAAAGATGTACCGTTATCTACCTGAAGAGTATATAAAGGTGAATATAATGCATTTCCTTAAAAAGCATCATGTAAATACAGAAATATACTACATTATACATGGTTGACGTACAAGGTTAATTTCGATATTGTCTGCATCGGCATCGATCGCATTTTCTATTAATTCTTTTACTACGGCGTACACGGATGTTATTATTTGTGTAGTGGTAATTAATTTTACCGTTTTTATGTCCAATGCCAAAATCGGCATCTTTAAATGTCATCAGATGAAATATTTGCGCCGTCTTTATAATTTAAATGTCACGTGTGTGGTATGCACCAGCATGGAATAGCGGTTCTGTTCTTTGCACTACATAGTACCTTCTGCACTTCAAGTGAAATAGATATATATTTAGACGTTAGAAAGAAAAAGAGAATAATACAAAGTTCGACTAAAGAAAAGAGCAAAGTGCAGAAAATACATGTAAATATAGTGCTATAACCTACAACGACTGCAACTGCAAAAATAGAGCCCAAATAGACTTGTACGAAATTCTGATTGCAAATTTTGAAGTTGTAAATTTTGAGATACGTGTCGTGATCGGAAAGCTATTAAAAGAAAACGGAAGAGAAGGTAAAATATATGATACATGGAACACAAATGGAATCAAAATCTGTAAAAATGTGAAGGAATATGTAGAGATCAGTGAATGAATGAATATACAAGGATTATTTTGAAAAAAACTAAAGAGAGATTAACAAATTTTAAAAATTATACATTTAATAATACGTATAAAAAGAAAAAGTATTATTAATTGATTCAAGAGTTCTTCAACATTGTGCTGTGATCTTGTAAGAACAAATATATTGTAATGAACATGCAAATGTATTGTGATTAGAAAGAAGCAATTTAACATTTACGTCAAAATGGAGCGATTTAATATGCATATTTTTCTCGAACTAAAGTCCTGCTGCGATAACTTAATAAAAAATCCGAGTAAGGATTACGCACGTAGAATCGCAGAGGTAGCTAATAATATTTCCGATAAAACAATGCATGATTTATCGGCATACTGTTTAATTCCTATTATCACCATCTTGCAAAGCAATACAAGGTAATTTTTCTTCATTCTTTTTTAATAATTTAGTATGTATAATAAAAGAAATATATATACGATATGCATTATTGCAAACCATATAAACAACAAATATATGATTTAAAATATATTTACAGCATGACTGTAAAAGAGGAACTGATAAAAACTATGAGAGTTATAATACGAAAAATTAGAATTACAAAATTGAAAATCTTTTTTAACATTTATGGATCTCTGCTAATCCAGATTTTTGACAAAGAGCAGCCAAATCAAGGTATGGTACCCAAGTATGTCAATAAATGTCATAATAATTAACACTAATCTAATTATTTGAATTTAACAGTGATTTTATTTCATGAGGAACTTAAGGAAGCAGTAGCTTTATGTATTAAAGATCTTATCTACCAAAGCAATTCTGACGTGATAGAATCACTTTATACTAAAGAAAATGTACTACAGCTTGGTCAAGGAATATTTTTGTGCCTAACAATTGCAAGGACCGAAAAGTCATATTCTGTAAAGTAAATATTTAAAAGATATATTGAAGGTGGCATTATTTTAGTTTTAGCGTATTGCAACTCTCTGGATGGTTTCAACTGATGCTTTCAACTGATTTTATTACAATTTTTATACAAAGAAATTGTGTGAACTCCTTATCAGTTTACTCATTTTCAATTTTTACTTTGGAAGATTGTTTCTAAAATTTAATTATCATTGCCGCTTAGAAGATTCTATTCTTCAAAAAACACTATAATATAATTTTAGTTACTTGGATTAAATTTATATCTTTATTTTATTTTTATTACAGTGGAATATTTTCCGCTTAAAAAATTCATAGTAACATATGAAGGGATAGCAAGGGATGGAAATCACATTCATCTTTTGCTTCACTGCTCTAGTATTGAGCTATCCAGCATTTCATACTATACAGCAGTTTTATACTATACCATCTTAAAATGTATAATAGTATTGATTCAAATTAATTATTAGATTAGCTGGACTAGATGCAGTAATAGCTTTGTGTCATATTGATGAGATGGATGAATCTGACATTATTATACAAGATCAAATAGCAAATACTATCATGGCATTTTTTCCGGGTATTATCGGTGGATTACAGGAAATAGCAATGGGAGATGAAATTCAGAATCACAAAATTACGATGGTAATACATGATTTTTACATATATTGAACTATTTTTAAAATACTTTAAAAAATACTTTATAGAAAAAAAGATTATTTAAGTTATATAATTAAATATTATACAGTTATATTATATACTTATAGATAGCAATTCGAGCATGGGGGAGAATTATATCTCTTGTAATTCATGATAAGGATGAAGAAGATGCTGAAGAAGACACATTATCCATAGAAACACTTATAAAAAAAAATTGCAATATATCCACTGACATGTCACATAATATGAAATATAATGGAAAATGCGACATAGAACATAATTTAAAAGGAGCTACAAGAAATAAAGAATGGTTCGAAGCTGTGGCTATTAAGCTTGGTTCATGTATAAAATTGTTAGACCAAGTTAGGAGCCATTCACACTACAAAGTTAAGAAAGAACTAGTTGAAAGTATTAGACTTATACTTGAAAATTGTCGCAGGTAAAAGATTCTCTTTTTTGTTGCTATTTATTCTTTTTTCTACATTTTTATAACATTTAAATAAATGTATATATTTTATATAGGAATATGAAACCAAATATTATGACACTAATAGATTATTTGATATCTTTATCTGAAGACGAATCTATAGAAGTTAGTGAAAAAGCGCATAATGTGCTGCATACAATAAGTGAAAACTACATGCAAAATCACGATATGAAATCATTAATTGATTTATTGGAAGATAAGTTTTACAGCTTACTTACAAAATTGCCCACAATTATTAGACGATCAAGTAAGATTTTTCTCTTATTATTTGAAGTTAAAAGATTTTTTTTATTTCATATTAGTAAACATAATATAATTTTTAATATAAATATATGGAAATCGCAGAACGTATGTTTCCATTCTATATTTTTTAGATGATAACGAACAATTAGTATACTTGAATCAATTTGCTGGATATTTAAGATTATTTGGAACGCAAAGATTGCCTCATATTATGAGATCTCAAGCTCACATGCAAAGATTGCTGTTAGCTCTTGTATATATTATGATCATAGATTGCAACAACATATCTCTTCTACAGACAGCAAATGTAAAAGATTTAGATGATCCTGCATATTTTTATGGATCAGATTCATGGAGACAATTTAAGTTTATTAAGAATAACTTGTGTAAAGAGAAACTTATTACAATATGCAAGTTGCTTCAAGAATTTGGGGATTTGAGGATATTAATTGACACTATTCTTGAACTTATGATGGATGTACCACAACACAGAAAGGAACTGAGTTTGCTACTTAATTGGATCTTAGGTAACACAAACAATACATATTGAAGAAATATTTACTAATATAAGCTCTCATTAATATGTCAATTTTATTTTAGTTTCTGTTAAAGATTCATCTTCTTCATATTTGTATAAAGAAATCGTAGATTTCTACACAACACAGGAAGTATGGTATTTGCCTATAGAAGTAACTGAAGATACTCCTTTGATGCAAGCACAGAGCAATATAGTGCAATGTTGCCTCTTGACCGAAGGATTAGGTTTTATAGCACAAAATTTACAACATGACTTTGATAGATATCTTCTAAAAACTTTATATTTAATTATTGAAAGAGCAGGTATGTTATTAACAATGAGAGAGTTCAAATTTTTTTATAAATGAATATTTTTAGGTAGTGGGAACAGTTTAATCAGTTATATTGGAGTGCGTACTCTCGAAAATGTCGCCGAAACACAACAACATAAGACAATTGGCGATCTGCTACGTGCTAACGTAGATTATTTTTCTTATCACATTATAATGAAATTACGCCAAATAAATCATAATCCTGGCGTATTTGACGTTATCAAAGTTATCATGAAGTACAGCAGAATGGATTTTTTGCCGCACCTAAAGGGAATTATAGAAGATGTACTTAGGCAACTAAGTACTCCTTATCGTCAAAAAGACACTTATTCGTTCTTGAAGATATTTCATACATTTATCATATGCATAAAAACGTTAACAAATTGGGATGATATAAAAGTAACAAAAGAAGATATACGAACTACAAGTAATTCTTCGGAAACAATTATTCTTTTTTTGTTAGAATATTATAATGCAAAGAAAATTGATGAAAAAATAGAGGATGACTTTGAAGAGATAGAATCAGATGTACTGAATACTGAGTTACCAGAAGAAATAAACGAAGAAAATTACTCAGATCCCAGTGCAGAAGGTAATAGGAATTTATTTTTATATATATTATATATATTTTTATATATATTTTATAGATAAAATTGATTCATTATTCATTATATATTCTAGATAAATCAGATAAAAAGTTACCAACTCATATAAAGATAATCATAGAAATTATGAAACGTTGTATACACTTTCTACCTTTGAAGGATGTACAAAAATCACTGATGGCAATGCAAACACTTCAAGAAGGTTTACCGATACTAGTTGAATGGGAAGATGAACTATTGCCTCTTGTGCATCAGTTATGGCATCCACTGATCGACAGATTTCATGATGAAAATGTACTTGTCATTAATCATGCATGGCAACTTTTGCATGTACTCGCCAATATTTCGAATGACTTCATCAGAAGCAGAACTCTGCGGTAAAATATCTTGTGCATTTCATCGAATATATTACAAAAAGTAATTAACATACCGAATGTGTTGTAATGCCATGATTTATCTTTTATAGAGAGGTATTACCATTTGTATTTCAATTCTTGACTAAGTCCTCTAAAGAAAGTATTAATAAGAGCTCGGTAAACGTTTATAAATTCACACAAACTTACAAATCCCAATACGAATTGTTATCTACATTGGGAATAATCGCGAGGCTCCTGAAATTACGTGAACATGAATTGTGGCAAATATTAAGCAATACACAATTGTATCTTAGTGCACGTCAACATACTACATTACAGGTAAAATGAAAATAGAATGTATTTTGTATTTTTGTATACATATAAATCTTTAACTATTTGTTGTTTAAAAGGCGTGCTGTGTAAAATTGTACAAAGATATTGCTGATTATAATGGAGATATCGCGTGGGTGAAATGTCTTAGTATCTGGAATTCAAAAGTTGCACGAATAGCGTCTGATGCAACATTTGATATGAAACATCTGCTGGTATGTTGTCACTTAATTATGAAATACAATTAATATCTAGTAATAAAATAAAATCTAGTTCTATATAATGTATTATGTTATTTTACTTTTCAGATTCCAGATGTTTCTCCGTCAAACGAATATTACAAAAATGTAAACGAAATCGTTACATATATTCAACAGAATATTCACTATTGAATATATCAAAAATATATGAAAAATGATTTAAGAATTCAAAGATCTTCAAACAACAATGTGCCATTAAATTACAAAATGCCTTTAAAGTAATAAAAAATATTTTCATATTAATATTAATTAATTTAGTTGAAAACAAATAGATTGCTGGATTTATTCAAATTATGTGAATATTTATGTATATTTATAGTATAAATTCTAAGTAGAGAGAATGAAGAAATTTTGTGACAGAAAATTTTTATTTGTATATAATTCTAACATTTTATAATTTTTTCCACATTTTACAATAACTTACATATAATTATATCTTTTTTACTATCTACAAAGCGATACATTA